TTATCTCTATATTTATTTATATAACCCTATACCTACTAAAATAAACTTGAATTCTTAATGATATTTCCAACTCTAATCGACCACCACAAGGTTCACTTTAGCATTCCCCTTTGCTTAATTATAACTTCTTTATTTGGCGATGAGAAACTCAGCTCTCATTATGACAATGTATTCCATTTTTAAAAGCCTAGAATACATGTACAGTGATTTCAGATTTGCTAACCCTTCCTCCTGTTAAAAACAAATTTAACAATGAGAGTACAAGGCTTGTGTACAAGTCTTTTTTCTTTAACCGTACAGTATCTAGTCAAAACATTGTTTTCTGAAGTTACTTAAGTCAGCCTCTTTCTCTCCCATCTCCTTCAGTATGGTTATGACTTACATTTTAATACAGTTAAATTCATTGGTGACAGTCTGCAAGTTCCTGGGACATCTGTTTGATTTTTAATTTTTTTAGTAAAATTAAATCTTTGTAGTGTAGAGTTCTAAGGGTTTTGACAAATGCAGAGAGTCATTTATCCAACATCACAGTACCATACACAACAGGTTCAACACCACAAAAATTAGCAAATGCTGACCCACTGTAGCCCACTTCCTCCCCCCAATCCCTGAAAGACCTTGGCCTTGTTTTTCATCCCTATTGTTGCCTTTTCTGGAATTCAATATAAGTGGAATAATCTGATATGCCGCTTTTCTGTCTGGCTCCTTTCAATTAGAAAAATACATTTGAGAAGCATCCCTGCTGTTGCATAGATCAATAGTTTCTTCCCTTTCATTTCTGAGTAGTATTGCATGTTTTGTGTGTACCATGGTTTGGTTATACATGAACTCCTTGAGAGATATCTTTTTTTTTCCAGATTTGGGCAATTATGAATAAAGCTGCTATAAACATTCATGTACAAGTTTTTGTGTGTGAACATAAGTTGTCGATTCACTTGGGTAAATGCCTTTGAGTGGGATTGCTGAATCGTATGGCAAATTTTTGTTTCACTTTGCAAGAAAGAGCCAAACTTTGCATCCCCACCAACTGTGTGTTAAGAGTTATAGATACTCACAGCCTCACCAGTATATTTAAAAAAACTAAATGTGTAGTGATATCTTATTGAAATATTGTCTATGACTTTCTTTTATATAGTCTGTTTGCATGTTCAAATATACTGATTGATTTTTCAAATGCTAAACCAGCTTTTCATTCTTGTTTTTTATTTATCATCTTTATTATGTATAAGTGGATTAGACTTGTGACTATTTTGTTGAGCGTTTTTGAATTTCTGTTCATGAGGGATATTGTTCTGTACAGATATTGGTTTATAATGTCATTGTCTATTTTTGATATTAAAGTAATGCTGGAATCATTATATGGGACAAGAGGTACTTAATACTCTTCTACTTTCTGGAGTGTATTGTGTAGAATTGGAATTTTTTGTTCCTTAAATGTTTGGTAGGATTCACCAGTGAAACTATCTAGGCCTGGAGTTTTCTTTGTTTTGGAAAGTTTTAAACTACAAACTCAATTTCTTTAGTAGATGTAGGGTTATTCTATAATTGTGGATTTTTCCATTTCTCATTTTAGTTCTTTTTTTGCCTCATGCATTTTGAAACTGTTGTTAGGGTCACATACATCTGGGGTCATAAAATAAGTCTTAACACATTAAAAATTAGAAATCGCTTATATCATTTATAATTTAAACTTACTATGAAAGGATATTTACAAGAAGCGCCAAAAAACTTTCCATAAAGTACAGCAGGGGAGTTAACCCTACAGGAATTCAAATGTACTATAAAGCAATTTTAATTAAAAGTGTGGCATTGGCTCAGGAATTAATAGGTAACTTAGTGAAACTGAGGGGCAAACTCAGGGAGAATTTTGAATACTCATGGGAAATATATTATGAAAATGATTTGGTTTAAACCTCAACTCTCTTATTTCTTAAGGCTATAACCATAAAAAAAGTATTTGTTATGTTCTATATCCTTGGATAATTGGGCAGCTTATTGTGTAATATGTTTCAAATGTACAATTATATAATATATCATCTGTATATTGCGTTGTGTGTTTACCACCCAAAGTCAGCTCTCCTCTGGTTGTTAACTGCCTAGGTAAGCTCATCCAACTGTGTATGTGCTCACTGGCCAGTTTCAAAAACACCACATTCACATCCTAGTGCAAATATCAGAGTGATTTAAAAATCTCTAATTTCAGAGGTATAGCCCCAAATCAACAGACTATGTGCCAAGTCAGGATCTACTCAACAGCCCTTTTGGAAAACACTTGGAGAGTGATTGAAGAGTCCAAGGGGGTGGAGGTGACCAGGCATCTGAACATCAGTGTCCCAAGTGAAACTTGAAGTGAAAGGGGCTGTTGCCATCTGAGAAATTCCAGGGTGAAGGATGGGACAGAAAGGGGTCTTCTGCAAGGAACAGGAATGCTTTTTGTCAGGGGAAGGGCAGGTGATTCTAGGCTGTTCCATCAAAAGTAGGGCACAGCCTTCAGAAGAAGAGCTGGTGAAGAGCTGGTAAGCCAGTCAGGTTCCAGAGCAGGACTTAGGATGAGAGGGCACATGGGGAAGCCCAGGGGGAAGGTGCTGTAATTCAGGGAAGTGCTAGGACCAGAAAGAATCACAGAGGTAGATCTCAAGGAACCCTGGAACTTGGGCAGGAGGACCCCTGGGTTAATAAAGCCCACAGATAGTCCCCAGCTCATGTTTGATTCACACTGCCACCTTCCTTCTTTAGGCCTGCTTGTAGTATCTTTGTACAGAGACTTTAAAAAAAATTTTCTTTATAGAGGCCTGAGAGAGATTATCAAGAACTGAGAAAAATAAAGAGATGGAATGTCTGCCTAGGGCTAGGAGGTGTGGGAGCAACATGGACTGTGGATGAAGTTAGACTGGAGATCTAGTCTCAGCCTTGTCACTTAGCAGCCATGTGATCATAGGGAAATCATCAAGTGCTATGAGCCTCAGGTTCTTCATTTGCAAAGTGAATTTGATAAGCTCTGTCTTACAGAACTGCTGGAATATATGTATGCATGTGGAAAGCCTCTGGCACAGTGCCTGGCATACACTGGACCTCTAATGAATGGTGAGGAATCCAGCCCCTGGTTAAGTCCTCATGCGTGATTTCCCAGGCCTGAGCGCACAGTTACAAAGGCTTTCTCCGGGGGGCCTCCCAGGGAATCGCCGCCCTCCTCACCCCCGAGCGCACGGCCCAGGGGCTGCGGTCCAAGCTTCAGGCTGCTGGCAGGCCGCTCCCCTCCCTGCAGCCCCAGCGCCTGTGCTTTCCTCCTCAAACGTCTCTCCGTGAGGCCTTGGGCAGGGGTCCTCTTCAGGGCCTCCGCCGGGGCCTCCTGGCAGGAGGAGGGGACCTGGGGGACACCTTTCCCCCCTGCTTGTTCACTGCTAGCCCTTCCCTCTTTTCTTCCTCTGATTCCAGGATCCACGAAGCTGCCAGAGCCTTTTGTTCCGGCTCCCTCAACAGTGAGGTGACCCCAAGCTGTGCCGACCCACCTGGCCCTCACGGGTGTGCTGTTCCATGCAGGAAAAGAAAATGAGGAATGGGCACTTTCTGTTTTACGCTCCTGCTTATACCCTCACAGGAAGCGATTAAAGGTTTAACTGACTGTATTTGGCTTGTCGCTCTAATCGGCTACTCTGACACCTGGCCGTTTGGCTCTCACTGGAGCTCAGTAGAGCTCCTGACAAATGGCCATTGTTTCTAATATTATTTTGAACCCAGAACCTATCCCCATGTCCTCTTAGAGAAAATGTACTGAGTTTTATTTATGAAGTGGTGTTTTTAACCGATTTGGTGTCCAGTGTCTAAGAGCACTCATTGCTTATTCTCTGAGGGGCCTGGGATATCAGAACAAATCCCCAGGGGACATTATGATTATCTTGAATGTACTTTGTCTAACTCTAAACAAGGAGAAGGTTTTTGATGGCACCTGGATTCAACTCAAAGCTCTTAGAATTCAAGTCAAAGACCAACTCCTTCCTTCCCTCCAGCTGTTCTTCCATCCAAAACACCACTTTCTATACCATACCAGACTCAGGTAATTTCTTTCTGGTTTATCCATGATCTAAAAGTTTTCCATCCTAGACTTTTCTATCAACTGTAAGACACACCATCTGAGAGTCTGGCATCTGCCACTACCCAGCTTTATTATAATCAACTCCCACGGAAGGAATCTTAGTTTCTGAAAGTTCCAAACTGCCTTGGCTCAGGGCATTTTTACTTGACTGCAGGTACCTGGAGTCCCATCGCCTCTCCCCTTCTGTTTACCTTGTTTGTTGGCTCTTAGTGGGCATCTCACCATCTTCCTGACGGGATTGCTGCTCCTGGCCTCTGCCATTCTATGGCTAGCAGTGTGTCCTGCTGATTCTAATGTCCCCACTGCTAACCCAGAGCCTTCTAAAGAGCAAGCACTCAATTCATGTTTGGGGAATAAATGAGCCAGTGAGAGATGTCATTTAAGATTTAATTTCTCCTCTATTCTTGAATAAGCCAAGCAAATCCAGGTATATATAATTTAATTTTACAGAGTGACAGACTAAAAGGAATAAATGAATCAAAAATTAGCCATCCTTTAAGTTTTTCCCGTCTGTCCCTTAAAACCCTATATTTTACTGCTGGGCTCTTTCACATTTCCAAGGAAATTTGTATTCTAATGCCATGTTATCTTGTTCACATCACAAAAAAGATGGACAGTTTCTTAGTTTCTTTTGCTAAATTGCAAAACTCTTATTTTTAAACCTGATAAACAGCTATAAATGTTTGACCACTGTCATTAATAAACTTAGATTCTGAAGCTAGTTAAACTTTTTATTACAAGGAACATCATTTGAAACAACTGAAAATATAAATCTCCAAATCACTTCTATTGAACAGGAACACAAAGGTGTTATATACTGTGTTCCCTCCAGGTCCACCCTGGTCCTCCAATACTTAGAACTTAGGCCACTGTCTTCAGAGGAAGAGTCAGGACTATGCTTCAGACTTCACTCAGGACAGGAGGGGCTGCTGGACTTGACGCTGGCACTTGCATTGGCCGTGGCAATAGCACCATCCAAGGCAACTTCAGCCTGGGCTCGCTCGCTCTCATCTCTCAAAGCTGCCTCATACCAGTTTGGGAGGGAAGTGGGGTCAGTCCCAGTGACCCTGGTGAAAAACTTCAGGACTTTCATCTTGGAGGTTTCAGCATGGGCTCTTGGACCCCACGGGAACTCGTAGCGCGGAGGGTCACCGTTGGGCACCTGCCGGTGCTGCAGGTAGTTTTCCTGCACTAGATCTTCGGTGATGAGCTTCCTGGGCTCCCCGTAGATGAAATCTTTCTTCCCAGCATAAACTCCCATCGTATTCAACACTTCCCAGATTCTCTCCTCTGGGGCACGGTTTCCCTCCATGAAGATTATGCCCAAGATGAATATCAGGAGGCCGGTCTTGGGCATGCCCTGGTCATCACTCAGCATCCCATCGGAGGTGAGGTCTAGTAATTTGACGAGCACATAGGAATCGCTGGTGGCGTCCACTTCACTTCAATGCCAAAGACAATCTCCATGCACTCACCGGCTTTCTTGAAGATCACAGGGAAGTGATCCTTATGTTCTTTGATGACACTCTTCAGCATTTCTGCCTTTGTGATGGGCTCCTTTGCTACGTACCTGATACTCAGATAGTGCACCAATTTGGACACCTTATTTTGTAGCACTTCAGGATTTGGTGGAGCCTGTGAGGTGCGTGGGCCCTCTTCTTGGGTGCCAGAGCCCTCATTTGACTTGCTTGATGGAGTGGCTGCGATGGCAGCATTGGAGGAGCAGGCCCTCTGGGAAGTCTGGCCAAGCCTCAGTATCCCAGTGGCAGGCACCTCCTCTCGAGTGCCTGGGGTCAAAGGAGAGAGGGAGGGGGCAGTGGTGGCCATGGCGCCTTCCTCCTCAGCCACGGGAACCTGCAAACCTGCCAAGCCCTGTGCCTCACTTGGGGCCTGAAGGCCTTCCTCAAGCTTGCGGCCCTCCCCCTTCTAGAGGTGAGGCATGACTTATATTGGAGGCAGCTGTCAGGAGGGTGGAAAATTGGGACCCACAGAGCTGGGGGAGAGGGAAAGTGTCAGTGCACTTAGCTGAGACACTCACCCATGATTGCTCTCACAAAGACAACCTGCAGGTCTCCTCTGTAGGGGTGCTCTTGTCACAGGGCTCCTGTTCTCCTTGTTGGCCTATCTCCTAATATCCGGAAGAGGAAGTGAGACGGCTCCTCAGGGTGTAGGCAGCCAACACAGCCAGAGGATTTCAGGGCTGAGGGTATGCTTGATGGAGTCATGCACTCTGGGGCTCCTTCTGTTCCAGGGTGGGTGGGAACCAGGTTGCATTCAGGGCATGCACCTCACCTGGACTTCTGGTACTGCCGGGGTCTCTCTGACAGGCTGGCCTGAGGACACATGCCTCAGACCAAGGCCCTCACCTCCCAGTTCCTAGAGGAATTGAGGGGATACCTCAGGATACAGTTTATAGGCACAGTCCTGGGCCCCCTAGTGTTGACAGGAGGGGTGGGACTAGACAGTGAAGTCCCCACTTTTCTGGAGTAGATACTTCCCTTAGTGCTCACTCTGAGTCCCAATCTTTACCTTGCCAGGGTCTGGGCCACACCAGTCTGCTTAGCTCCTCTGATTTCCTAAGGACGAAGTGAGGGGCCACCACATCTAGCCACAGTTGCCTAGGGCTTCCTGGGGCGACGTGGGTTTCAGTGGGGCCTCCTTTGTCTATGGTAGGAGGGTCCATTATGTCATTAATCCGTACTGCTGAAAGGTCCTGTTCTGTCCCCCACCTCAGCAGACCTAACATGTATCCACAGATTATAGCTTCCACTCTCTGAAAGGAATCACCTCCCCCACCCCTATGGTGGAAGTGACAGCCTGACCATCTCTGCTTAGTGTCTTCCAGATATGACATCAGGGCCTGGGACCATCTGTTCTAAGGTGGGGTTGCCCTCAGTCCACCTTCAGGGTATTTAGCTTTACATCTGGCAAGATCTCAGACCACACTTCCCCCCTTACCTGCCCTCTGTCCTCAGATGACCATGGGGCCGCTGAGACAAAAGTGAAAAGACACCACATCCGGCAACTGCTGCCGGAGGTCTCCCAGGGCTGGCAGCAGGAGCAGAGCAGGCTTCTGCGGGATGCCTTCTCTCCGAGGTGGGGAGGCGCCTACCTCAGCCCTCTTCCATGTAGTCACAACTACTGACTGGGCTTAGGGCACCTACGTTCTGCTGACCCTGAGAATCCCTCCCTCACGCCGTGGCCCCAGTCTCAGTGGAAACAATGTCAAGGAAGTGTGGAGGTCTTCCCAAGGAAGTGTGGAGGTCTTCCCAAGGACGTGTGGAGGTCTTCCCAAGGACGTGTGGAGGTCTTCCCAAGGACGTGTGGAGGCCTGGGAGAGGTGCCTCTGCATCACAGCTTTGCCTGAGGCTGACAATAGGGTGAGCGAATGCCTGATGTCAGATGTTGGTAGGTGAGACCCTCTCTGTCTACACAGAAAAGTTTCCTTAGTCTTTCCTCAGGTTCCTCACCTTTACGCTTTGGCAGTGCCTGGGACTCCTTCCTCTGCTGATCTGACGTCACAACCCTGCAACTAAGCTTCACCTTCCTCAGATTCCTAATGTGGAAGTAAGGAAACATCACATCAGGGAAGCTTTTCTGGGGCTTCCCAGGGGTGACAGCAAGGGCGGGGCTGGGGCCTCCTGTATCTGCAGTGGGAGGTCCCCTCAGCCCTTCCTCAATTTTCTCACTTGGATGTTTGGCAGATCCTGGAACTTTTCTTCCTGCCGATCTGAGGCTAGCCCCTTCAGACAGGGATTCATCTCCCGAAGATTCCCTAATCCAGAAAAGGGAGGGGGGATGCTTATGCTCCAAGCACTGCCCGGGGTCTCTGGGGCAGACAGCAGGAGTTAGGTTCAATTTCTGTGGGGACCTCTCTGGTTCTGAGGTGGGGGGATATCTCAGTTTTTCTCAAGGTATTCATATTTACTCCTGACAGGGCCTGGGACCCCTTCTCTCTGTTGGCCTGAGGATGTGTCCTGCAAATTAAGGCCACCAACTCTCCGAGACCTTGATATGTAACCGGGGGCAGGGGCGCTTTTTCTGTCAACCGTGCTTGGGACCCCCCAGGGCTGATAGCAGAGGTAGGTGTCTGGGAAATCCCTGCGTGCGGTGGGCGGTTTCTTTAGGATCCTTACCTTGACACGGGCAGAGTCTGGGACTCCTCGCTGCGCTGGCGGGATTCTGGTCATCTGGGTTGAAAGGTTAGCTCTGCGGGACTCCAAAAGTCAAAGTCTGGAAACACTACATCCAAGGACCACGCATGGGGCCTTCCCGGGCTGAAACCAGGCTCAGAACACGCCGGGCCCACTGTGTTCTGTGGTGGGAAGTCAGTTCAGTCGTCCCCCAGGGTGATCACTTTGATTCCTGGCACCACCTGAGTCCCCTCTCCTGGCCAATCTGACTCTGCCTCCCTCTAATTAAGGCGGCCACTCACAAGTTGCCAGAGTTGGAGATGAGGGGGGAGGGTGAGTTATCCTGCCAGCCCTGCACGGAGTCTTCCAGGGATGACATCAGAGATGGAGTGGGACTGTGGGGCTCACGCTGTTCTTCAGTGGGTGGACTCCTCAGGCCTCACTCATAAAGGTTCTCATCTTGGCTCCCGACTCCCAGATTAGACGCTCTCCGGGAGAGTCCGCCCTCTCTGCCAGCTGGGAGCATCTGAGCAACTGCAACTCTTTCAGAAAATGGTTTTGGCTCCCAGGCTAAATGCTGGCTGGGAGGACAGCAGCACCCATCACAGGCGGTGCCGGTTCCGAAAAGCAGCATACCTTTCTACGGGGTCTCCTCCCCCAGCAGACATACAATTTGGAAACATTTTGTTCTACAAAAGTTCATTCTCACAGGGAAGAGTTTGAGCCGCACGATTTGGGAAGTCCCTAATTTTTTGAGATCATCTAATATTGCATTCTTCAGCACAGTGATTTCCATTTTTCTTAAGCCTCCCTGATACTAATAAATGTATTTTACATCTCTACCAAGCATCTGTGTACTTGTGGTTCACCCTGATGCTTGCTATTTCATTTTTAGTCCATTCCTTTTATTCTATTAAAATGTTTTTAAGGCCCAGTCTTTGTCACTAAACTGGTTTCAGGTGGTTATTAGCATGGACTCTGGAAACACACGGCATTGATCCAGCCAATCTTTCTCGATATCTGATGCTACACCAGGATAAGTGGCATCTGCAGGCTGAGGTGATGCCTCACATTCCCTCAATGAGGCAGAGGCGGAAGTTTACAAAGTTTCCTGCTATGTATCCTGTCATCTGCCATCTATTACAGGTTTTGAAGCCTCCCAGACTTCACTGTTGCCTCTCTCTCTCCAGCGGGAAACACAAGTACCAGGTCAACACAGGTGTTTCTCATGTTTTGTTATTTAGATTTTCTTCCTCATACCCTTGGTAGCTGAGAAATTCACCCTCACCCCAAAGATATCCTACCCCAGACCCTAGATCCTGTGAATTCGGCCTTCTCTGGGATAATGATCTTTGTAGGTGTTACTAATTTAAGAGTCCATTGAAGGGCGTGGCTGCAAGGGGTGTTTGGGAGGTGAGACCGCAGCGTAAAGACGGCCCGCGGAGCCAACGTCTGGATTGCCGCGGGGCTGGTCATCTGGACCACAGCAGGCGGGGCGCTAATGCCGCATGCGCAGTCGCATTCTGCGGGATCATCGTTACATAAGGGGCTGATTACATAAGGCTAGGCCGCATGCGCAGTCGCATTCTGGGGGGGATCGTCGTTACATAAGGGGGCTGCTTGCACAAGGCTAGGCCGCATGCGCAGTCGCTTTCTGCCGGATCATCGTTACATAAGGGGCTGATTATATAAGACTAGGCCGCATGCGCAGTCGCATTCTGCGGGATCATTGTTACATAAGGGGCTGATTACATAAGCCTAGGCCGCATGCGCAGTCGCATTCCACTGCCCATGCTCACATAGGTCAGCATCATGCGCACGTGCAGGACGGTCGGGTCATGGATGGGACCCCGAAAGGTAGGAGCCCCTCCCTGACACCCCCCACGGGATTACCCTGGAATATCCAGGTTCACCCTAAATGCAATCGCGTGTATCATTTTAACAGGGCGGCAGAGGAAGAATCAACAAACAGCAAACAATGTGACGCGAAGCAGAGAGACACCTGACGCTGACCTTGAAACTGCAGCCACCTCGCCGGCCACAAGCCAAGGGATGCGGGCGGCCTCCGGAAGCCGGGGGAGGCGGGGAGTGGGGTTCGCCCGAGTCTCCACGCAGGGGGGCCCTTCTGGCGCCTGAGTGCAGCCGTGAAACTGGTTCTGGCCACCCGGCTTCCAGAGCTGTAAGAGAATAAGTTTCTGTTGTTTAAGCCGAACGTTTCATGGTGCTTTGGTACAGCAGCCCTGGGAAACTGATACATAATCGCCTATTTGTTTCCATTCTCCCTTGACAGTTTGCCACGGTTGCTTTTGGGGGTGCAAGACCGCAGCACAAACTTTGTCGTCATTTTGGCAACTACAGGTAAGGCGCTGAATCTGTAAGTATTTTAAGGAGAATTGACACGTTCTACAATATTTTCTTTCACATTAGTGAATATGGTATACTTCTTTATTTATTTGGGATACTTAAAAAATCAGTCTATCAGTAAACTTATATTTGCCTGCATGAAGAGCTTATACAGTCTTGTGATTTGTAATTCCTCTTAGATAGCTTTTGGATTTGTTGCTGTGGTGAATGGGGCATCGTCTATTACATATTCTAATTATTGTTTTCATGTGGTAAGGTTCTTGATTTCTTTATATTGATCTTCCATAGACTATCTTTCCGAACTATCTTATTTGCATATTTCACAGACCTATTCCTTTTAATTTTCTAGGTAGATGGTCATATTGTTACCAGGTAGTATCTTTCTTTTCAATATTAATATTTCTTATTTACTTTTATATCTGTATCTCTGGCTTTGAGTTCCACTGGAGTTTTGAACAGTAGAAGTGGGAGTGTATATGTATTAGTTTCCGACTTGAAAGAGGATGCTTCTAACATTTCACATCTAACTATGTTTGCTGTAGAATTTAGGAAAACGAGGTTTCCTCCTATTCTTATTTTGCCAGAAGTTTGTAACCTGAACTCATGCTGAATTTCTTTCAAAGGCTTTTTCTATACCCATTGCCACAATCAAATCTTTTTTCTCCTCTAATTTGTTAATGTAGGGAATTATAATTTAAAGTATTTTCTACTTTAAATCATGTTTTCATCCCTTGGGCACAGCCCATTTGCTTATTTTAATTCACTGTTTTGACTATACTATTTTATTTAAGATAGTTACTGATACATGAGTGATCTTGGCTCAAGTGTTCTTTTTGTAGGGGTTGGGAGGCAAGGTTCTATTTTCATTTCGTTTTTGAATCAAGGACAGCTGGCTAGGGAAAATGAATAATTTCCCTTTTTTTGGTATGCTTTGTAAAAGTTTACAAAAGCTAGCAGTTAATTTTCCCTGACCATTTGGTAGAAGTGACCTCCAAAATGGTCTTGTTCTGCACATTTCAGAGTGGTTTGAGTTTTGAATCCAGTTTCCAGTTGTATTTTTGTCTTGAAGATTTTTTATGGATCAGTTTGGTTATTTTCTAAAATGTGGTCCATTTTACTTAGGAAGAAAGGATAGTGTTTTCAATAAATGGTGCAAAGAAAATTAGCTATTTACATATGAAAAAGTTATAAATTGGAGTTCATCAAAATTTAAAATTTTTCACTTCAATAGATACCATTAAAAAATGAAAAGACAATCCAGACAAGGAGAAACTTGCAAATCATGTATCTGCTAAAGGACTCATAACCAGAATAAATAAAGAACTCATAACTCAATAATAAGAAAACAAACTAATAATAAATAGGTAAAAGGTTTAAGTGAACATTTTACCAAAGAAGGTATATGAAAATATGCTTTAAAAGGTGCTAAGGCCATTTGCGGAAATTCAAGTCAAAACCATAATGAGATACCACTTTATACCCACCAGAATGTCTAAAAAAAAAAAAA